CTGTTCGCGAAGCATATTTATAGACTACATGGAGTACCTCGTAGAATGATATCAGACAAAGGAGTACATAGCAGCACAGGGTTAACTCCATTCCAAATCAACACTGGCATGGAATTTGTCCCAATGCCAGAATTACCTAGAGAACCTCCTACATCCATGTCTGTAACAGAACGGATGAACTCATTAAAAGAAGGTTGGGAAAACACGAAAAAAGCTTTAACTGAAGCCACAAGAGATTACAAAAAGCAAGCAAACATAGATTCCCTCCAACCACCATTTAAAGTAGGAGACAAAGTATATTTGTCAACCAAATATCTTCGATTGAAACTTACTAGTAAAAAATTGGGACCTAAATTCTTAGGTCCATTCCTGATTTCGAAAATAATCAATCCGGTCACGGTCTAATTAACTCTTCCACGACTATTAGGGAAAAATTCACCCAGTGTTCCATAGTAGTTTATTAAAACCAGCTAGCACATCAATGATAAGACCAATACCAATCGCTCCCCCACCCCCCTTAATCATACAGGATGAAACACATTATGAAATTTAAAAAAATCCTCGATTCTAGTTTATACTGAGGACAATTGCAATATTTGGTTTTATGGAAGGGTTACCCTGTATCAGATGCTACTTGGGTCAAAAGTTGGGATGGACATGCAGATAGATTGGTTAAACAATTTCATGAAGAATTTCCTAACAAACCAAAAGGTCCTCTGGGAGGGGGGAGAGGGGGTTAAGTTATAACATTAACCCGTTTGTATTTTGTTCTTTTATGTTCTTTTAGGAGGCAAATTTTCTAAGGGGGGACACCTGTCAGCTTTGGAATCCCTATAAAAAGGTGCCACACTGATACGGAGGATGGAAGGGGGAGCTGTTGGTATTTGAGTAATTTTTAGTAGACATAACAGATACGTAAGACTATCAAGGTCATTCTTTATGGCGCAGCAAGAATTGTAGTTGAAGGGTGATTGGTTCACGTGATTGATGATGTGGGAGAAAATGGGTGGGTGTTGATTGAGTATTGTGGGAGGTCTGGGAGGAAACTTTACTTTCGAAATCTCACAGACATGCTAAGTTTTTTGTTTTAATAAAGCACTTTGAGAATATGCCTGTCTTTGAGCTGCCGATTAAACTGAAGAATTTCTGGAACCCTGACAAAGGCAAGAGCTAGGACACCTGGTTTAAATCCATATGTAGCTTTTAGGTCCACAGACTAAACTGGGGATTGCTGTTCTTTCAGTCTAACATTCTAGGAGGGTAAAAGAGAAGCAAAAGGGGGGGGGGGGAAAGAAGCTATATACACTGCTCTAAGGTCCTTTTAAAAAAGGACAGATATAGGTGAAACTCGAAAAACTAGAATATCCTGCAAAAGTTCAATTATTTCAGTAATGCAACTTAAAAGGTGAACCTAAAATATGAGATAGACTCATTACATGCAAAGCAAAATAGTTCAAGCCATGATGTGTCATAATTGTGATGATTATGGCTTACAGCTCATGAAAACCCCAAATCCACGATCTCAGAAAATTAGAATATTGTGAAAAGGTTCAATATTCTAGGCTCAAAGTGTCCTACTCTAATCAGCTAATGAAGCCATAACACCTGCAAAGGGTTCCTGAGCCTTTAAATGGTCTCTCAGTCTGGTTCAGTAGGAAGCACAAACATGGGAAAGACTGCTGACCTGACAGTTGTGCAGAAAACCATCCTTGACACCCTCCATAAGGAGGGAAAGCCTCAAAAGGTAATTGCAAAAGAAGTTGGATGTTCCCAAAGTGCTGTATCAAAGCACATTAATAGAAAGTTATGTGGAAGGGAAAAGTGTGGAAGAAAAAGGTGCACAAACAGCAGGGATGACCGCAGCCTGGAGAGGATTGTCAGGAAAAGGCCATTCGAAAGTGTTGGGGACTTTCACAAGGAGTGGACTGAGGCTGGAGTCAGTGCATCATCCTGGACATGGGCTTCAAATGTCGTATTCCTCTTGTCAAGCCGCTCCTGAACAACAAACGTCAGAAGCGTCTTACCTGGGCTACAGAAAAACAGACCTGGTCTGTTGCTCAGTGGTCCAAAGTCCTCTTTTCTGATGAGAGCAACTTTTGCACCTCATTTGGAAACCAAGGACCCAGAGTCTGGAGGAAGAATGGAGAGGCACACACTGCAAGATGCTTGAAGTCCAGTGTGAAGTTTCCACAGTCTGTGTTGATTTGGGGAGCCATGTCATCTGCTGGTGTTGGTCCACTGTGCTTCACTAAGTCCAGAGGCAATGCAGCTGTCTACCAGGAGATTTTGGAGCACTTCGTGCTGCCTTCCGCAGACGAGCTTTATGGGGATGCTGACTTCATTTTCCAGCAGGACTTGGCACCTGCCCACGCTGCCAAAAGCACCCAAACCTGGTTCAGTGACCGTGGGATTACTGTGCTTGATTGGCCAGCAAACTCGCCTGACCTGAACCCCATAGAGAATCTATGGGGCATTGCCAAGAGAAAGATGAGAGGCATGAGACTGAACAATACAGAAGAGCTGAAGGCCGCTACTGAAGCATCCTGGTCTTCCAAAACACCTCAGCAGTGCCACAGGCTGATAGCTTCCATGCCACGCCGCATTGAGGCAGTAATTGCTGCAAAAGGGGCCCAAACCAAGTACTGAGTACATATGCATGCTTATACTTTTCAGAAGTCCGATATTGTTCTATGTGCAATCCTTGTTTTATTGATTGCATGTAATATTCTAATTTTCTGAGATTGTGGATTTGGGGTTTTCATGAGCTGTAAGCCATAATCATCTCAATTATGACAAATCATGGCTTGAACTATCTTGCCTTGCATGTAACGAGTCTATCTCATATATTAGTTTCACCTTTTAAGTTGCATTACTGAAACAAATGAACTTTTGCACGATATTCTAATTTTTCGAGTTTCACCTGTATGTGTGCCAAGACAATTCCTCTTCACTCAATATGGCCGAGGCAAGCCAAAAGGTTGGACACCATGGGCTATAAACAGTTCAATCTGTCTTGTTCAATCTCCCTTCTTCTCTTCAATTTAGCCCCTGCCGATCTTCCCAAAGCCCTTGTCTTACCCTATCATTCCCCTCCAGTTGAATACTTTCTTACCAGATATGGCAGCGACTGCAGCTGGGTGCCCAGCAACTTGAAGCAACGGGGGTGGCGGTGGGAGGCCAGGTGAGGGGGTGAACATGCCTGGGTGGTGGTGGGAAGTAGGCTGATGGGTAGAGGGAAAAAGGTGGGGGGGCAGGGCCAGCAAGGGGGTGGAGGGCCGGTGAGGGAGTTGGGAAGGGGAGCAGGGCGGGAGGATGGGCTTGGGGTGAGCTGCACCGCGGTTGCACCTGAAAAAGGGAGAAAAAATAAATATATGCCTAGGTAAGGAAGAGACAATAATAATGGAAACAACGACACTCAAGAAAGCCGTTCATTAGGCTTTTGAAAGGGAAATTGGTTTCCATCTCAGTTCAGTGATGGACTCAGCTAGGATGTCTTGGATTAGAAGCTTCATCCAGCATCATGTCCTTAGTTACAGCATACAGGGAATAATTATGACAGGTCTCATGGAATTGTTATCAGCACAAACCAGGGTACTATCTACTCAGCATAAACTTTTTTTTTTTTAAAAAAACCCTCTTTCTAAAGAAAGAGACGAGAAAAACATTGAGATAAAAAAAATGCAGTCCAAATACATGATGTAGTCACTTCCAACTGTGGGCCAGAAAGCCCCGGTCCAATCTCATCCTTGTCATAACTTCACTATAAGGAGCAAGTCAGGCCAATTCTCTCCATTTTAAGTTGTTAACTCATCTTCAATGTATATAAAACTATAACTATGACTATAACTAACATATAACTATCTACGGGGTTGCTGTAAGGATATACAAAGAGCTTTCAACATTTTCAAGTTATTAATAAGACATAAAGAAGGGGAGGGATATGTCTCAAAGAGGACAGAAGCAACAGCAGTTAAAGCAAATAAAAACCATGAAAGTGTAAAAGGACAGAAGACTAACATGGGGACAGAAGCAGAGCTTGAAAGAGACAGATAAAGAGAGTGCAAAAAAGAAACAATAACCAGAGAAAGCTCTGTAGCCAGAGGGCATCAGGACTCACCCTCCAGTGCTGAGGTCAAGCCCTACAGAGTATGAGGCCTGCGTCTGGCTGGTAGAGGGTGGCACCTTCATGTGCAGTTGGCTCTGGGCAAGGCTGTGGGTAACTGCTCCACCCTGAGGCATTGGAGGCAGCTGGCCTTTAGGCTGGGGCATCCCACGAACAGTGTTAGGTGTCTGAGCCAGAGTCTTGACAGGAGGTGGGGCAGGAGGATTTGGAGGCAAGGCCTGAGCCAGAATAGGGGCAGTAGCTGCCTGAGAAGGGGGTTCCTTAGTCAGGAAAGGCACTAGCAGGCAGTCCCGGTCGGCCTCATAGTTACGCTCCTGGCTCCGTTCCAGGCCAGAGACTTTAGGGATCACAGAGAGTTTGGTTTCACAGCTGCCATTTAATGCACCAATGGGTCCCAAGGCTGCCAAAAAAAATGCAAACAGAGAAAACAAGGATCAGACTATTTGAAAAAGCCCAACAGAATGTGTTGGATTTTAAAACTTTTGGGATGGAGCCCCATTTCACTGACTGGACAAATGTGTCAGCTACAAATGTTGATGTACACAACAAGAGTCACAGTAAGTCACCAAGGGGGGGAGGGGGTAAGTTTCCATTGATATTGCATGTTTTTAAAAATTCCATGAAAACAGCAGAGGCACAATGAATCAGAACACTTCCAGCAACAGAGGTGGAAACTGTCATAGAACCCAGCAAGAATATATTTGATACTTTGCACCCCCAGTTAGAAGCAGGACACCGTGGCACCTCTGTAAAGTGTTCCGAGGGACACTTTTGCAGTAACTTTCAAGCAAAGAACTCCTTTAGCTATCAGCATGGCCACACTAGGAAGTTCTTTGCTTTGAAGGTTCATGTAAATACTCCCTCACAACGCTTTATGGAGGTACCACAGAGCCCTGAGTCTAACCAGGAGTGTTAACACCTCACTTAGCAAAAGTCATATTGTTTATGCATGCAGAGAAGCCATTTCTGCAATCAAAGTTACCAAACAAGGCACACCAGCCTCCCTGATCCTGGCCAAGCTTTTTGCAGAGACACAGTGGTTCCAGTCTACGAGGTTCTTTGCTGTGTTGAAACAGTGGTGATCTGCACAGGGCTAAATAACGCTACTACTTTTATGAAAACAAACTCTTCTGAAACTCAGTACTGCTTACTTCCCTCTTTCTGACAGAATCCCATAGAAGTATATTTTGTCATCTGTTCAGTTGTTTCTCCTAATCCAAAGATCCAGTTGGCTCCCAACCTGATGATGTTCAGGAACCTATTAAAGCCCTAGTTTCCCTCTTAAACTTTGGGGCAGAGTGCAGGATGAGACCCTGCTGGATGGAATTTGGGGAACTACTCATGTTTTTTTTTGTCTTTTGTCTTTTTTACTTTTAAACTGTAGGCTGCCCAAAGAGATTGGGAGTTGGACTACCTATGAATTGTATAAATAATTACAAGCATCAGGAGACAGAGGACCTAGTATAGGCTCTGAAATGAGTCAGGTTTTTTTCCGATTCCTTGTTGATGGGAAGATAACAGATAATCAGAGTTGGAAGGGACCTTGTAGGTCATCTAGTCCAACCACCCCGCCCAAGCGGGAGACCCTACACCATTTCTGACAAATGGCAGTCCAATCTCTTCTTGAAAGTCTCAAGTGACGGCGCTCCCACAACTTCCGAAGGCAAGCTGTTCCATTGGTTGATTGTTCTGTCAGAAAGTTTCTCCTTATTTCCACGTTAAATCTCTCCTTGTTCAGTTTCCATCCATTATTCCTTGTCTGGCCTACAGCTGCTTTAGAAAATAGCTTGACCCCCTCCTCTCTGTGGCAGCCCCTCAAATATTGGAAGACTGCTATCATGTCTCCCCTGGTCCTTCTCTTCACTAGATTAGCCATACTCAGTTCCTGTAACCGTTCTTCATATTTTTTAGTCTCCAGTCCCCTAATCATCCTGGTTGCTCTTCGCTGTACTCTTTCTAGAGTCTCAACATATTTTTTGTAATGTGGTGAACAAAATTGGATGCAGTACTCTAGGTGTGGTCTTACTAAGGCTTTAGAGTGGTATTAGTACCTCAAGTTGATCTCAATTGTATCCCTCTGTTAATGCAATTTAGGATTGCATTAGCTTTTTTAGTTGCTGCTGCACACTGCTGGCTCATATTTAGCTGGTTGTCCACTAAGACTCCAAGATCCCTCTCACAGTTACTGCTATTGAGCCTGGTTTCACCCAGTCTATATGGGTACTTTTGGTTTTTCTTGCCTAAGTGTAGGACTTTACTTTTCTCTACATTGAATTTCATTTTGTTAGATACGGCCCAGTGTTCTGGTCTGTCAAGATCCATCTGGATCTTGAGCCTATCTTCTTGGGTGTTAGCTATTCCTGCCAGCTTAGTATCATCTGCAAATTTGGTAAATTCCCCTTCTATTCCCGCATCTAAGTCGTTAATAAAGATATTGAAGAGAGAGGGCGGAGCTGGCGGCGCGACGATACGGCATGCGATCTTGGAGGTCTGAGATCGCTGCCGATATCTTTGCTCCTGGACGGTCCTATCGGATCTAAACCGTCCCGAAGAGACGGTGAAAGTGAAGAGCGCATCCTGTCGATCCCAGGGATACCGCAAAGTCCCTGGTAGATCCAGGTGAAGTTCTTCTTGCCAGCGGCAAAGAGGCAGCCATTAAAGCTGCTGAAGTTGGGACAGCTCCGAAACGGAAGAGAACAGAAAGAGAGAGTGTGCCGGTTTGGTGAGAACTTTTTTTTTTATTTTAAGATCTGAAAGGACACCCTAAGGAAAAGAAAGAATCTGTAAAAGTTTTGGCAGAAGTGATTAAGCGGCGATTTTAAACAGGAATGTCAAAGTAATGTTTTTTGTTTGTTTTCTCAGTGCTGGATTTTCTATATATGATCTTGTACTTTGAAACTGGACTGGTTTTTTCATTTATATCTATTTTTTTCTTCTCCTTTTTGATTTTGTAATATTTTAGGCTAGAGGCTCCCTTTAGTTATTTCATTTTTTAAAAATATCTTTTCTTTTTTTATTAATTCTTATTATATCCTGCTCGGAAAAGGAGGGAGAAAGTGAGAGCAAAGAAACTTTGTAACACTGCCAACTAGAGGCTTGAAAATATTCTATTTCCCTGTGACCAGACAAAGCTGAGAAAGAAAGAACTGAGACTCTTTTTCAAGGACATTGCTATTTGATAAGATAGAGGGAAGAGCATGGGAGAGTATTATTGCAGGTGCTCTTCTGGGTTTCTATCAACAGCTGGAGTCTGGTGTTGAAACGTAGGGGAAAAAAAGGTGATAAGTTTTTGGAGAAGAGAGTTATAATAAGAGCCTTGGATAATCAAACAAAGTGCAGTGTGCCCTTTTTACTTTTCCTAAGTCGTGCTATCCCTCCTCACCAGCTTTATTGTATTTTTTTAAATCTTTTTTTTGTAATAATTATTTGGGTTTTTTGGCTTTCTTGGAGCTTGTCTTTTTTTGGGGGGGGGGGGGGGGGGGGAGAGTCCAATCTCTACGTTTGCTTTTTATTTTAAAGGGAAAGGCTTAAAAGCCTTTTTTCCCCCCTTTCCTGGTATTTTTGTTTTTTCATCTACCTTTCTGGTTTATTTTTATGCACTTTTTTCTATTTGAGATCTTTCAGTTGGATTAAGGTGTTGAAGAACCTGAAGAATTTTTCCTTTTCCTTTTTTTTCTTTTTTTTTCTTAAGTCTTTTTCTTTATCTAACTATTGATTGGATTAAGGTATACAAGAACCTGAAGAAATTTTTTCCTCCCCCCCTTTTTTTTCTTTGTTTAATTATTATTATTGGGCTTCTTTTTTCTACTATTTTCATTTTGAACTATAATTGGTTACTTCACAATTGGATTAAGGTTTAGAAGAACCTGAAGATTTTGAATTGCTTAAAATGAGTAGGAAATTTATAGCTCCTGGTTCTTCAACTTCTACTTCTTCCCCTCCACCATCTGGAGGACAATGTTCAATACAGACAATGTTAAAGCAAGAAAAAGAACAAGAAAAAGTGACTCTGCAGATGATTATGCAAGGAATTCAAAATATTCAAGCAAGATCAGAGAATATTGAAAAGAGAACAGAGAACATTGAACAAAGAACAGAGAACATTGAACAAAGAACAGGGAAAACCGATGAAAAAGTGGAGAACATCCAACAAATGATGTTGAAGTATGATGAGAGGTTCCAAAAAATTGAAGAAGATAAACAAAGAGACAAGAAGATTGGAGATATTGATAATAGATTAATGGTGGTTGAACAAGATAAAAGTGGTATGTTGAGATGGGAGATGGATAGATCAGAATTCTATCTTAGATTCCAAAACGTAGAGGAAGAAAAAGGACAAAACCTAGCTGAGATAATGATAGAAAGGGCGTTGGTACTTACCTGATACGCCCTTTCTG